AGGAATACATTTAACGAAAGAGATGAAAGAGCTCTATAAGGAAAACTACAAAACACTGATGAAAGAAATTATAGACGACAACAAATTGAAAAACATCCCACGCTCATGGATTGGAAGAATCAATATTGTTAAAATGACCATACTACCCAAAACAATATACAGGTTCAATGCAATTCCTATCAAAATTCCAATATTATTTTCCACAGAAGCAGAAAAAACAATCCTGAAGTTCATATGGAACCAAAAAGATCCCAATAGCCAATGCAATCCTAAACAAAAAGAACAAAGCTGGAGGCATCACGTTACCTAACTTCAAATTATACTACATGGCTATAAATACCAAAACAGCATGGTACTGGTATAAAAATAGGCACATAGATCAATGGAACAGAATAGAGAACCCAGAAATAAAGCCACGTATCTACAGCCAATGGATCTTTGACAAGGTCAACAAAAACATACACTAGGGAAAGGACGACTTATTCAATAAATGATGCTGGGAAAATTTAATGGCCATATGCAGAAGAATGAAACTAGACCCCTATCTCTCATCAGATACAAAAATTTATGCAAGATGGAATAAAGATTGAAATGTAAGACCTGAAACCATAAAAATCTAGAAGAAAATTTTAGAAAAACTCTTCTGGACATTGGTCTAGGCAAAGAATTTATGACTAAGACCTCAGCAGCAAATGTAACAAAAACAGAAATAGACAAATCGGACATAACTAAACTAAAAAGCTTCTACACAACAAAAGAAATAATCAACAGAGTAAACAGACCACATGTAGAATAGGAGAAAATATTCACAAACTATGCATCTGACAAAGGACTAGTAAATGTCCAGAATCTACAAGAAACTCACACAACTGAACAACAACAAAAAAACCCCAAATAACCCCATTAAAAAGTGGGCAAAGGACATGAACAGACATTTTTCTAAAGAAGACATACAAAGGGCCAACAAACATGAAGAATTGCTCATCATCATTAATCATCAAAGAAATGCAAATTATAACCACAATGAGATACCATCTTACACCAGTCAGAATGGTTATTATTAAAAAATGAAAAATTAATAGATGTTGGCAAGGATACAGAGAAAATTCTTATATACTGTTGGTGGGAATATAAATTAGCACAATCTCTATGGAAAACAGTATGGAGATTTCTCAAAGAACTAAAAATAAAACTACTACTTGATTCATCAATCCCTACTATTAATAGATATCTACCCAAAGGAAAAGAAAGTATTATATTGAAAAGATACCTGCACTCATATGTTTATTGCAGCACAATTCATAATAGTAAAGACGTGAGATCAACATAAGTGTCCATCAATGGATAATTGGATAAACAAAATGTGGAATACTACTTAGCCACAAAAAAAATAAAATTATGTCTTTTGTAGCAACATGGGTGGAACTGGGGGCCATTATTTTAAGTGCAATAACTCAGAAAAAGAAAGTCAAATACTGCATGTTCTCATGTATAAGTAGGAGCTAAATAATGTGTACACATGGACACAGAGAGTAGAATGATAGACATTGGAGACTCTTAAAGATGAGAAGGTGGTGAGGGATGAGAAATTACCTAATGGGTATAATGTACACTATTTGGGTAATGGTTACACAGACTTCACCACTATGTAATATATCCATGTAACAAAATTACACTTGTACCCCCTAAATCTATAAAAATAAATAAATACCTGAAAATATATATTAAAAAATGTGTCTGATACATTCCACCACTTATACCACACATATCTGCTCATGGCCTATATTTTAAGCATAATCTATCACCAAGGCTTTGAAGTGGTGGCTAGGTGACAGCTCTGCTAAAGACTTAATACAAGAGGAGGTCAGGTGCAGTGACTCATACTGGTAATCCTAGCACTCTGGGAGGCCAATGCAGGAGGATCCCTTGAGGTCAGGAGTTCGAGATCAGCCTGAGCAAGAGCAAGACCCCATCTAGACTAAAAATAGAAAAATTAGCTGGGCATGGTGCTGCACACCTGTAATCTCAGCTACTTGGGAGGCTGAGGCAGTAGAATCGCTTGAGCCCAGGAGTTTGAGGTTGCTGTGAGCTAGGCTGACACGATGGCACTCTAGCCCAGGTGACAAAGGGAGATTCTGTCTCAAAAAGAATAAAAAATAAAAAGAATAAAGATTTAACACAAGAGTATTAGTGGGACAAGCTACAGGCCACACTACTATAACTGGTCCTGAGGCTATAATTAATATTCAGTTTCCCCCCTGTCTTTCACCCATTGTAGATTTCCCTTACTCACAGCCAGCACTGCAGCTAATGGGGTGATGCTAACCTTCATCGCTGAGAGGTCTGACCCCTTAACTTCTTTGCCCTTGTCAGGTTGTGGTTGCTGCAATTGGCTATTCACAATTATCACTGGACAAGGAAGCCAAGGGATCCCCCCACGAACACCCTGAATTCCAAACACACTCTTCCCTATCTGAATTAAGTAAAAGCAACTCTACTTCTTCATAATATTCAAAATAGATTTTCTCTTGTAGTATATGAAATATGCTTGATGAATTCAAACTAATCAGGTAGTTTCAGTTCAGTATTATGACCCCTGGTGGAAGCATTCTCTACTCATACCACAAATTCAGCAGAGCCTCAGGTTGCAAGGACAGAAAGCACAAATTCAATTTCTAGATCACTGGGAGTGATGGTGAGGAACAGCAGTCCTTTATTTTCAGCTCTATGCATTCTCTCTATTGGGAAACAATAGCATATATCTGCCATTGGCTCAGTGGATATACCATAGTATGGAGGACAGAATCCTATCCCACAGGAAGCTGTGCTGAAGCTGCCATCTTGGTCACAGATTTAATAGGCTGTTCCTTTGTTATGTCAGGCCAGATGTTTCAGAATGACACAGGTTTCATGACCATGTGTTCATTATCTCAACTTTTTCACTATGAGATGTGCTCCTTGCTCTGAGGCAGTATTTCATGGAATCCTATGGCAGTAAATCAGGCTCTTTAAGTTCTCAGAACATGTTGGTGGCAGAGGCACTGTGGAAAGAGAGGGCAAAGCCCATATCTGGAATAGGTGTCAGTTCTAGTAAGGAGTCTCTGCTCTTTCCATGAGAAAAGGGGAGTGATATAATCCACACATCACTAAGTATCTGAGTGGACTTCTTGAAGGGTGGTACTCCACTGGGAAATCATTGTTGGTCTCTGCTACTGGCAGGTAGTTATTCAGCAGTAGCAGCAGGTAGTTTAGCCTTGGTGGAATAGAGTCCACAGTGTTGGCCCAGGCAATCTCCATGCCATGGCCATCTTCATGGGCCCACTGCACCAGCATGAGGTGGCCAAGGGGAGAAGCTCCTGATAAATCATCCAATCAATCTGTTTTCCATCTCCTCTGTGGGAGATGCTCTCTTATGGGGGTTAGCTTGAAACACATAGATCTGCATGCTTTATTCTCACTACTACGAGTCCCTTCACATGACTCTAAAACTTTCTTATTTTTGATCTTCTAATCCTATTCCTTTTAGTCCCTGACCAACTAGTCAAGTCATCTACCACTGCCCAGGAGCCCATGTATATTCTTACCTTGAACAACCTTTACCTCCACTCAAAAGTTACTGATTGCGTATACTGATCACAGCTCTGCCTACTAGGGAGGCTGACGGTGAAAAGTGAATTAGGAGCCCAAGGACCACTTTGCAACATTTATGACTAAAGTCAGAGGTGATGCCATGAAGATGTGAAGTGAGACACAGGAAGCTTGTGATATAGATAGTCATGGAAGTTTTTCAGAGGAAACAAACCATGACAATATCTATGGGAACTGCATTTTAGATAGAAGGAATAGGATGTGCCAAAACCCTGTGGTGGGACCATATTTATGGATACAAGTAATATCAAGTGTGGTTGGAGAAGTGTGAATGAGGAGAAGTGGTAGGAAAGGAGATCAGAAATGGAGGAGTTTAGATGATTTTTATGAGTGGGGAACCACTGGGAGCTTTGAAACAAAGCAGTGGCGTGATGTGAGTTACACTCTCCAAAATTCACTAGCTGCTGTTCTAAGAACAGCCTTGGGGCAGGAGTGAAGATGCTGTGTCAGTGAGTGATGGGATGAAGATGGCTCAAATGTTTGGCATGGGCTCCGGTGAAGAATGGAGCACAATAAGTGAGGAGAACAAATATTGGTAACGTATTTCAAGAGTTTTACTACAAAGGGAAGCAGAGAAAGGGGTTGATCACTAGAGAGGAGAGCAGAGCAAGGGGAAAGTTGATGATTTTTCTTTTGCTTTTTTTCAGGTGGCAAAATAACAGTATGTTTGTATGCCGATGGGTATGATCCCACAGAAAGAGACAAATGGATGATGTGAAATGGCAGAAAATTATTTTAATCTTCTATAAATATATGACAATTCAAAACTACATTTGGAAGTATAGATTAAGTATAGTATGCCAGATAAAAATATTTTATATTGTTGAAACAATACGGTTTTGAAATAAATCTAAGAAATAAAAACCTATGAATAAGAGTAATTGGATTATGTTCTTTAAATCCCATAATTAAATATTCTCCTAATAAAAATGTCTAAAAGGTACTTATACTGTTCTAGTATGGAAAGTGAATTGCACACATCAATGAAATTGCCTATATTATGATGTTTTTGGAAGAAAGTTCAATTAGTAAACAGTTTTTGCCCAGATTACTTCAAAATCTAAAATTCCTAAATTCTGAGTTCTAAAAATAAGTGCATTTTTAAATATAACTCTTCTGAATATTGCAGGTGCTTAACATTAAAACACCACTAAAGGCAAATTGATGACTAGTACTATTTTTGAAATTATGAAAATTTTTCTTTTACACTAATGGATTTGCATTCATGTCATTAATGTAAATTTATAAGCTATTTAAATTTCAGAATTTAATTACCTACAGACCATATTGTTCTCAGTACAATAATAAACTCAACATCAGTAAACAAGAAAAAATGGTAAATCCAGAGATGTAGATTTAACTCTTTAAATCTTATGTATAATCCTATTTATACTACTATAATGTAAATATATTATTTATAATACCAATGTTAGAAAAAATAAATATTTGGTATTTACCTTAAAATGTTAGTAGTTTTCAAGTATGTTTCAACAAAATAATCATTACTGTAATATGTGCTGACATTAAATAACCTTTAATAGTTGAAGTGGCAGAATTGGGGTTGCCAGATATCTGTGGTGCAACTGCTTTTTAAATTATTGAACATTTTCAGTGTTCTACAAAGGTCCATTAGACAACATAAATATTGCTTAGTGTAGCATAGACAGGAAGTAGGACTTCATTGTGCCAGATGTTCATCAAATACCACAGCCACTCAACTCCAGCTCTGGTAAAGCTACATGTTAGGTGACAGTGCTGCTTAATGGGAAGGACCCAGGCTTTGGACTTCAATAACCTGGGTTGGAATCTCAGCTCCAGGACCCCTTTTCATTATGACCTTGGGAAAGACGTAAATTCTCTCAGCTGAGTCCCCTCATCAGAAAAATGACTATAATCTATCTTAATGGACTGTTAGGAATACTAAATGATGATTTACATGTGTTGTTTAACATGGTGCCTGGCTCATCTACTAAGAGCTCAATAGATATCTGCTATTGTTATTTGTCACAAAAATCTTGACATTTAGGCTCAGCATTAATATCCCTTTATAAAAATAGCACAGAATCAGTGAGTGGCCAGAATCTAAACCTGGGCTGTAATTGCCAATGCTATTACCTGTTACCTAGCGTAACTTCCTCCAGCCTCTATGTGCTGAGCTCCTAGCCTACCCTTTCCTTTATATGTAGAAAAAGTAAGCAGAAACTCAACAAAGGTAGGGATTTTAATAAACATCACTTTATTCCTCTAAGCTTAAACCTTAACCAAACGACTCATTCATCATAGGCTAAAGTACAAATTTAAGTATCAATTTTACATGGGAAAGATATTTGCATTGAATTTGCAGTTTTGAATCTAGAAAGGCAGTTACTACTAAAATGGAATTGCGAGAAGACATATGAACACACACCAATGTAAGCTACTTACAAACCTGCTCTTTCCTTTTGCCAACTTCTGCTTATCTTTGGAGTTCATATTGAGTTTCGAACACACAGAGGGCTGCTGGCAACTATTAATAACTAAAGAATGGAAAATTTTACTTGTGGTGTGGTTCAGGATGTGATACATATATTTATTTTCCTATCTGGTACATGTCAC